CATCTCTGACCCACCACATGTAACGTGTAAGCGTAGTCTATTGTATATAATAATGATAATAATGTGTCCATTTATATAGCGCCAAACTCCACACTAGGTATGCTCACAGCGCTAACAATCAAGGCACAGCACATTATTACCCCGGATAACCCAAGCAAGAACTCTATGGGCACAAGGTAAGACTGCAAGAATGAACAGATATTTAATTCCAATAGGATGAAAGGCAATATTCTTTAATATTCTTTACCACCACCATGACTCTACGTGCCCACCTCTGATATCATACTTCTGCGTTTGCTCATTCCACTGGACTCGACTCGTCCAGAACTCCCCCATGTCTCGGATCAGCTGATACCCCGCCTGGTCCTTCAGCCAGGGCATGTCTCTGGTGACGGTGAGGTACTGCCGGGCCGCCAGGGCGATGTCCCCCGTGATGTGCTGCTGGTTCTCGCGGCATGGGACACAGATCTCCGGGGTCTGCTCGGCACCAGTGAAGGCGCTCTCCCACGGGAAGCGGAGACCCTTGTACCCTCCCTGCCGAGCACGTTTGTACGCTTCATCCATGCCATAGATCCTGTACGATAGCATCGCCTTGGCTAGCTGTTTCAAATATATTTTAGAAACGGTAAATTGACCTGATGAAATATAGTGTGCTCGTTAGTTGTTAACGCAACAAGATCGCGGCTATATAACGGCCGTAAATCATCGAATACGATTAGACAATCCAGTAACTGGCATCTTGAACATTATATATGTTCAACAACACCATGGGCACGTGATATCTTCCTTTGCTATGATCGTTCGAATCCCAGGTTCGGCCTGCATGTGTCTGAACAATGCCCGCGCTACAATGTTTCAGGAGGGGTAAACGTCATCGACCTACACCACTTCCGGAAGTTCCCATACACCTGACATGAACATAATACTCACAGAACAACATTGGGACTATTTCACTGTACATACCTCGGGGTGGAACGCCAGAATACCCGGATACATCCACGTCTCCATGTCCCAGAACACGTGACCCTGGTAGTCGGTCCAGTTGGCACCATTGGCCAGACCTCCAGGACTTAGACCATAGAACTGGTCATTGGGGAAGTAAGGATCAGATGATGGAAGGAATGAGAGAAGATAGTAGAAGCACCCATTGATGAGTTTCGACAGGAGTACATTTCCTTCAACCAGCACTCGTCCCCTCGACCATCTTTCACTCCAAGCCGTGACATGACTCTCATACAGACTGTCTTTACTGGACGCAACAAGGGAGATGGCATCATCGAAAGATGCCTTGGCAACTCGACCGTCTCTGTCGATGGCTGTGAAGAAGACCCATGTCTCTGATGCTACACCAGACTTGAGGATGAGCTTGTTGGGCAGTTTGGCGTAGTACACGACGACATCGCTCACCAGAGTATCTGCAGTCTCTGTTTGTTTAGTCTGGCCAGTCTGCTTCCTGGAAAAGCGAGACGGTATGTGTTTTTATTGTTTAAAGCCACACTAAGTAAAATGCCAGCTGTATGACGACTCATAACTATTAGGTTCATGAATTGGATGCGGCACTGAACATTACTTATGCCTCGGGCTGTTAATATGATATAAGCAAAAGATCAAGGTACGACTCTCCGTCTCCCACGTTGTCAAAGGACCAAAGATCATGGAGACGTGTTGGATAGCCAAGACTGTAAATATCAAAAGGGAAGCAACTCTCCATCAAGAGTTACGTCGATCAAGGTCACTTGTCTATTACTCTTGAGTGACAGGTTTACTTCTCTCCAGGCCATTATAGTAACATGCAACCAGTCAATGAGATATGTAGCCCAACTTCGAGCCTACCAATAATCTCCTCTGTATGTCTGTGCTTCGTTGAATGCAATGTCATCACTATCCTCTCCCCTGTTATTGGTCAATGTCATTGTCACCTGACCAAGGCTTTCAGCCAATCGTTTTGCTCGGATCTCCGTGATAAGTAGGCGTGTGTGCTTCTGATGTGCGTACGTCCTGATAATGACCTCAGTGTCCGGTGTGGTCAGTTTCTCTTCAAACGTTGCTAGGATGGGTTAGAAAAGCAGATTTCAGAGTAGAAGTAGCATTTTATATATATTCTTTGAGTATGAATTTTTTTATTGTCTATAAACCAAACTTAAATTCGTCCCAGTATATACGTTTGTGACGGATTCATTCGGTGAGGCAGGGTACGCTCATCTTTTTAGCCAACCCCTGTTAATACATTTCATGGTGGTTCATAACACATATGATATACTAGCACTTACTTTTAGCAGAAATTTTGTGTGATTGTGAAAAAAGGTCCTGTCACTTTCATACAGGGCAGGTTATTTAATCATTTTGATAACATTTATCTTCCTGAGATATATACTCAGAAATGGATTGTTTAATTAAGGGTTTATTTTTTCCGCTTCCTTTTGCATACATATATGATTTTTGTTGAGTCTAGAACGTAGATGACTTGATATACGTACATACTGGTTTACTGTAACAACATTAGAGAGGGTCGGGACTGACTTACAGATACTACAGACACCCGGTGTCTCCTCACCTTTCTCTGTGTCCAGGGTGTAGTGGTGGTGGACATCAGCCTGGCCGTCCAGCTGGATCCGGATAGCCTGAGTGGACGGGATCCGCGCTCGGTGACTCCAGCCTGGGCAGTGGACACATGGGTGAGTGAGGGAGACTTGAGATGTGATCGTGGTTTTGACGTTGAAATAAGTGACTTTGTGTCAGAGCTACTGTCCATGTAGGGTATTAATCGACTCCCAGATTGATATCATATACCACGAAATATGCGTTACAGACAGACAAAATGGTCACATTGTTTAATGCAATGATTTACCGTATTAAACATGGTTGATAATGAACGACCACAGGTGTCCTCAAGTACTTATGAGGGCATGAAAAATACCAGTAGACAAACTGAATATCAATTGTACGCGTATTGTGTCCTGTATTTCAGTGTTCACAAATAATCTCACCAAACGGTCCATTGTAGAGGCCGTTAACATAGATAGTATCGCTGTACACAACCGTTCCTAGATGCCCATTGGCCACAGACGCCATGTACCGGAAGTCGATCATGTCACTTCCTGGAGCTATCGGGAGTCTGAAGGTTAATGTGTCAACATACAGCTGTGAGAAGACAGGAGACAATACAGAATCAGGCAGGCAAACAGTGTTGGTATGGCGCCACATTATAAGAAGTTGCGTTAAGTTTTCACTTGAGAAGGCAGGTCGAAATACGCATTTCGGTAGAAGTAAGTATGTGAATTAAATTTAATGTGAGCGTTCACGCGAGTAAATAAATTAGTAACTGTTCATATATTATAGGAGGTTTGAGATTATCGGAGAAGGTCAATTGTTATCACAACTATAAGTGGGGAGGGGTTAAAGTAAAAAAATGTCACAGTTCGTTTTTAACCCACAGTACCTATCCGTTTGGAACAGGTGCGCGTTTGGCCCTGTGTCGGGGTACAGGTTGGTGGAGGTGCTCTCTGTGACGTCATCACATGGGGTCGAACAGTCCGGCCTGCGGTCAGTTTGACTTTCCTTAAGCAAAACAAGTGTACGCTTAATGGATATTTATGATGTAAACGTGATTAGAACATAACATTCAGAATAGGATTAATAATTAGAACTACTGACCGTTGACGATGTCGAGTTTGAGCTGAATATATATCTGACATTACATTGCGTTAACATACCCAGTGTTTCATCATGGTAACGGCACAGAAGAGCCTGTCCCCCGAGCACCTGTCAGCTGTGCAGGGTGTGGTGCTGGCTTGGGACTCGTACTTCACCTGGTAGTTCTCCGAAAGGTGTCCCCTACAATTTGATTTGATCACCTTGATATCGATAGGTGTGCATGATTTGTGTGGATGAGTAAGATTGGCAGGTCCTACTTTTCGGGCATAGCATTGTCTTTGTTTGCCAAGAAAGGACAATCAAACATTTAAATTTGTTTACACACAATGTGAATACATTTTCAGTCCAAAATTGGACTTACTTACTTATTTACTGAATGTGACTCAATTTTTAAGGACAGAGTATTTTCTTTCCTTCTTTTTGAAACTTTTTTGTCTATCCACTAGCCCATCCGAAGATGAATGAGTTTTACTTCCACATGAGCAGGCATTAATCAACGGCATTAAACAGGTCGGTTGGTTGATTTGCTGTTTAACGCCGCACTCAGCAAAATTCCAGCTATATGGCGGCGGTCCGTAAATATTCAAATCTGGACAAGACAATCCAGTGATCAACAGCACGAGCATCGATCTACGCAATTGGGATATGATGACATGTGCCAACAAAGTCAGTGAGCCTGACCACCCAATCCCGTTAGTCATTTCATACTATGAAAAAGGATCTCATTAAATCAACTTACATCTCCACTGCACACTTGATGAGTCTCTTGACGGCGTGGATGTAGATATCGGCAGGGTCTGTGCAGGTGAAGTCACCCATAAACCCGATACCTGCAACCAGACATTAGTAATGAAACACTCTGTGTCTACTGAGATAACCATGGAAGATTTATCCTGCCAAGCAAATCGTTGCTTTATGACCATACCCGTGCGTTACCTTGATACAAACCTTGACAGAATATATTCATTTCTGAAATAGTGTGCTAATGTGCGTATACAATATACCTAGGGAAGCCATCGCTTGAATATCAAAATTGAGCTCCATGTATCTGAATGTACATTATTGTCGGTTTATTACAGTTGTAACACTCACTGATTGAGTCTCTGCTGATATCCTCATCTTCTTGCTGTGGCATGACGCCCCAGCCCCGCCCCTCATAGACACGCCCATCTTTTCCCACGAGGAAGTTGTACGGGACATCGCTGTTCCCCTCCATCTCCTGGTGCATGTACTTGATGAATAGGAAATTAAAACATTCGGGCAAATGATACTTAAACAATGCAGCCACAAAAACAGAATTAATGTTATTTGTTATCTACTATGAAAATGACAGTTTATCAAAATGTACGCGTAATTAATATACTTAGTTCCAAAAGAAACGCGACATTCATGTTTGTTTTTGAAATTTCCATTATTGTCTTATCTACTTTACAATCATAACGAATGTGCATGTTATATGTTCTTTGAAACCATTTTTCGAAATTAAACTTCTGAAACAAGACTTTTAACGTCAGATTAGCCGTAACAATCTTATTAATGAACATTTTATAGGGTAAAAACAACATAAACGCATCACATAAACGCATGCCCTGACGCGTTGTGCACGTGAATTTAATGATATGACACTTTCTTCAAGAAAAACCCAGAGAAAGAACCCATTAAAAGATGCAATGTCAGTTTCTGTTGTGTTCTTTTCCTGAATGGTTCAGAAAACAATATGCCACGTTTGAGCAATGAAGCACGTCTACATGCTATTTGAATATATTCAATTTCCAAGGTGAGTGCGCTGGGTATAACATCGCTTTTAAAAACACCAAATTTGGCTTAAACAATTGTACCCGTTTAGAGAATCTCAAAACAAGCCACATGGACACATGGTAGCGTTCTGACGGCCAGGCCATCCCAACACAAACAGTCTATTATATATTGTTCACGTATACGGTTGGGCACATTCATCCATGTTACCCAAGACGCACCTGGATGTGTTTGACTTGTCTCTTGCAAGCGTCCAGTGTCTGACACATCGGTCCTCCTGTCTGGTGAATCAACACCTTAGTCACGTGATCAACCTTCCCAGCAGCCTCTTTAGCATCCGCTGCGCCCCATTCTCGGCGACCCACGATCTGAGGACATGACGTCTCTGTGGACATAATCATCGATACGGTCTCACACCATCTACAACGTGTCGTTGCGCACTCGGAACACACAGTACGAAGCAAGTAGTGTTTGTTACTATGATGTTCATACCTTCTGGAAGCGGGCAGTCGGTGACCTCAAGGGACTGGAGACTGAAGGCTTGACGTGGCATCAGGAACTCCTTCCCTAGAACACAGCCTCAAGACTCAAACAGAAGATCGAGTTTATATACATATAACTGTACATTATTAAGATGTTTCTTTCTTGTCGTGTGACACTCATGCATTTTGTTAAGAAATATTACCGTGTCTTTAGTGCAAATATCCGATGAATACTATGTAAACTGATTCACGAAGTGAAGACTTCATCATCACTTACTGACAAAGAGTAGATTCGTTTCAGAATATACACTGAACATAAAATTAGGGATCGTTTTGGGGAAATATTTCTTTAGTAAAGACAAAGTACAGCAGATTTCATAAATATATGTTTTAAAAAGCATTATCACTAGTTCCTTGTTCAATATATGTTGAATCAAGCGATAATTCACTGAAACAATGTCAGATTCATGATGTCATTCATCTGAATTGTTTGATGATCTTTTTATCCATGTTACGTTTCAAGTGAGATCATGAAAAATTACATCTTTCTGACTGAACGATGTCATTGAAAAGTATACTTTGTATGACATACTGTATGATGACGTTACAGCAGGACTAATGATGTGCCCCGTCTAAATAGGTTTCGGGTCTAACGGGTTTCACTGTACACGATTGCTCCGTCACAGGCTCACCTGGCTTAAGTCGGAATATGGCACCAGTCTTCTTGACCGTGAGGAGCAGTTGGTTGGGGGGAGACTCTGTCAGGAGGAGCAGAGATACGTGATCTGCTTTGATCTCCATGTCGATGCTGTTGCCGAGGTAGTTGAAACCGGTGAAGCGCATGCCCCTGGAGTCTGGGGGAAGTCTGGGGTCAAAGTCCAGTGACTCTGTGTGCAGGCGTGCTCCTCCGTAACCGAAAAATACCGCCTGGAGAAAACCGCCCATGCCAGTCAGGAAGTTGACAGCTCCGATACCTTGCCTTGCCTCGGTCCAGATCTGTAAGCATCTTTGTCAGTTCATTGGATAGCATGATAACAACAGAGTCTTGAATAGACTCACCTGAAGAACTTCCACTGATGTTAAGCTGCATTGATCAGTTTTACTAATCACAACCTTCTGTTGAGAACATTCCGCGCAAAGTAAGTGTACATATAGTGAGGCTGCAATGAAACATACTAGAAACGTTCATTAGATGTATTGATGTGGGTATGTGTTTTAGACGTTAAGTTTGTTATGTTTCCATAATATTTCATGTTTTTGTTTAAATCCAATTTTCAAGAGTATATTTGTTTTGCCTGGCAGTTTATTTAAGACGACGCTTGAACACTGTGTCATGAAATCTTCATTACTAACTAAACCAAATATTACAGCCCCCGATTGCACAGACCGAATTGACGTTTGCCTCATCATCACCTTGAATGGTTCCCTGTTGTAGAGTCCGTAGCTTCTTTCAAACATCTCGGCTGCCTTCTCCTCATCTCCGAGTTCCAGCCAAGCAATGGAGAACATCCCCCAGGTCATGGCAGGGCCAAGAGGGTTGTTGACACGCTCGTAGCGGACCAGGTCATTTCTCCGGACATCCTCTGGCATGGGCCACATCTGGGGGTAGCCGAGCAGGACAACGTCGGCCTGCTTCACCCCCCGGGGATCTGGAACAGCACATACAGAACCATCAATTGAATGAGTGAGTGTGGTTATGGGCTAAAGGCATTTTGACGAATACTCAGAAGGGCATGACTGGTTAAGGGGTACTGAAACAGGCACAGCAATCAGTCAATGGTTGATACTTCATTATCTACTCCAGTATTGTTTGCATTAATTCACTAACATTGGTCTCTTGATTTAATGAATAACTAATGCAATCAGATGAAGAATGACTCCAAATAATAAAAAGTAGTAAATGTTGATAGTCCGAAACCAACAATAAACGTCGGTCATCACACAATGCTACCATGGCTCGTGAATCCCATTCTGTTCCAGACTAACCATAGACACACTGGTAAATGTATTAAGCACACGTCATAAAGTTGTATGTTAATACTGCAGGTCGTTTCTTACCTTTCTCATCAGTGTAGCCTTCGTATTCTGGGTGGAAGTTCTCATTCTCATCAAACAGAAGCGCGATCTTCCGGGAGACCTCCAGCCAGTCATCTGGTACCTCGCTGTGGGCGTCTTTACCCGCCAGACAGGCAGCGTATCGCCCGAAGTTGATGGCGAGTTTAGCGCCTACGTTGGTATAGACGGAGTTGTTGACAAACTCGGCATGTTCATCTGGGGGCATCACTCCTAAATAGTGATTGAATAACACATATATGTAAATTAGTTCTCCTTGCCGTTTAACACCTTGCACAGTAATATCCTCAGTTATGTAATGGCAGCTTAAACGTGATTGATTGATTGACCATGACAAACTAGCTATTACTATTAAGCGAAACGATCACGTCGCTCTGGTAATCGCCCATATCACCGCATCAATCCATTTGGTCGACTCTATTGACCAGCTACTATAACCCCAGAATCCCACTGGAGGTGAACGAATGAAATGATGCTTGCATCTCGCTCAGACAAGAATATAAATGGAACCCTATTTATATCAGTTACTGCGAATATATTTCCTATCAACGCAAACGTTACACGTTGTCACCACGTGACGTATACAGAAAACTCTGAAAGATGTCTTTAGAGCCAGAGAGATATTCTGACAGACTTTTACACAATTCATGTGGTTAGATAGTAATTCTGACATTTTATTACGCTAAGTCGTCAAAGACCAACCAGGGCAGTATCAACATGATCAATACGTCACTTTGAACTTTGAGTGAGTGAGTGAGTTTAGTTGTACGCCGCACATATTCCAGCTATATGGTTTGAACTTTGAATGGCAATGCCTAGGATGTTTGTCTATAGGGTCTGCATGTCAAGAATGAAACTGACAATGTTTCCCATACAACAATCATTACCATTAATATCATACTGGAGCGTTTCGGGATTGTACGTTGGCCTTGACTTCCAGAAATGCGCCATGTCCTTCAAGAACACATAACCCTTCTTCCCATTCAGCCAATCAATGTCCCTGGTTGCTGCCACGTACTGGCGTGCTGCCAGGGCAATGTCTCCCGTCACGTGCTGCTGGTTCTCCCTGCACGCGGGGCAGATATCTGGGGTCACCTCCACCCCTGTCTGTGCACTCTCCCACGGGTACCGAAGTCCCTCGTATCCCCCGCTCCGGGCGCGATCATAGGCAGGCTCCATGTTGTTGATCCTGTAGGACAGCATCTGTTCGCCAAGTTCCGGGTGGAACATGAGCATTGTGGGATACATCCACGTCTCCATGTCCCAGAACACGTGACCCTGGTAGTCGGTCCAGTTGGCACCATTGGCTAGACCTTTGAAAGGTAGTAATCGATATCAATAACAAATAATGGCATCCAAAGGCGGATACATATATACCCTGTAGAGTGACTGGATGAGTCATGAAATGCTGTTGTCATGAAACGCTGCGACTATGGCTTTTCAATATCTGTGATTATACTCGCATGTTAACGAATGTGCAAATAAACATGGAATGATGTTCTTTCATTTTACAATTATATGTATTACGTTTTCCATATGGTTCCGGGTGTTAAAACCGATAATGGGTTATGGATACGATGATTTCGATAAATGAACTGAATATATCTCCTTTTTAAGTGGAAAGATTAAGTCTTTTCAAGAAGTGTCCGCAAAAATATTTTGTCTCCAACAAACTCCCAGAACCCAAAAGAAATTAAGTCTTGGGTCCCTCTGGTTACAGTAACAGACCGTACCTCCTGGACTGAGGCCTCCGAACTTCCGGTTGGGCAGGAAGGTGTCCATGGCTGGCAGGAAGCTCATCAGGTAGTAGAAGCAGCTGTTGATGAGTTTGGAGAGTTTGGTGTTACCGTCCACGTCAATGCGGCCCCCGTCCCACTTGTTTCTCCAGGCCTCGAGGTGCCTCTGGTACAAAAGCTCCGGCTTGATGGCCATTATCCGTAGAGCTTCATCAAAGTTGTTCCTGGCAACATTCCTGTCAGGGTCGATAGACGTGATGACACAATACGTCTTGGATTTCTCTGAGCTTCTGAAGGTCAGGCTTGACTGAAGGGTGGTGTAATATAGATAGACGCTCTGTGTGTCCTCGCCTTCAATCTCAGGGATGCGAGTTCTACCTTCTTGGAATCTGGAACACAAATGACCGAATCCTAGAAATAGGTCCAGGGTGCGTTTAATGCTATCGTATCAATGTATTGCATTTTATAAGGTAAACATTGTCAATATCATTGGCAGTGATAATTTGAAATTATTAATTTGAAGCCGCTGTTGTCGCCCAAATTACATAACTGCAGCACATTGCATTAATATATATACAAGTCTCGCATGGCAGGGTTATGAGTATCTTCGACAGCTCCACGACAGACAATCATTTGCGTTATGAACTAGAAATTGTGAAAGACGTAAAAGATACAATACATTTCAGTTGAATCAGAAATTCTACACTAATTTATTAATATGTTAATTTGGGAACTTGATAAGAAACCAATTCATATGAAAGTATTTAAGCGTACTACTTATTGACAACGTTACACAACGTTTTTAAATGCAACGGGACGTCTTCTGAGCTTATCACTACATACATTTACTTCATGTACAACGCAAACGTCGTAAAAGAAAGATTTTTAATATTGCTTTACAATTAGTTAATCTGTCACGGCTTTTAACTATACTAAGATACGGGGTTAGACAAATTCTCAAAAAAACATGGCAACACGTAAATCGCAAAATAGGCTATGTTTAACAATTTTCCGTAATCTTTTGTCATTTTCTACTCTGCTCTGTGCTATGGGAACTTTGTATATACAGTTTCCATAAACGTGATGTGCTTTCATAGAATATTCAGTAACACCCATAATCTTTATCTACATATAACAAGTATATCAAGAAACAATTACAAATGAGATATAGTCTTACTTAAACATGGATGACACATAGTCCTCTGGCTCCATGAACGTGATGTCCTCACTGGGGCCACCGTGGTTGTTTACGACGTTGAACACGATGTCCTCAGTTGCGGATGTCCGTGTGAAGATCACATCAGTCACAAGCAGGCGGTTATAGTACTGGTGAGCATAGGTTCTCTGTGTGACCTTCACTCCAGGCAAAGTCAGAACCTCTTCGAAGATGCCTAAGGACGAACAGGATATGTAAGGTTTCACGTCAGCAGGTAAATGTAGGGGGTCAACGCCAGAACATAACCATCTATGATTATCGCCCGAACAGATTTCATTGGGGGTTAAAGGCAAAATTGTGAGAAAAAAAATAATGAATCACTGAAAATGTAGAGAAAAATAATGAATCGCTGAAAATTAAGCATGACAACTGGTGTGAGACAAAAGATAAGCATATCCGGCTCTAAGGCGATAACAGAATGAAGATCGCACTTCTAAGTGCAGCGTAAATCCATTGTCATTCACTTACTGAGATACTGAGCATTTTTTCATAATACGCCATAAGAAACATGCACATTATATCCCAGATATGTAGACAAGGAAATGTATGTTACCTACCCTTCTTGACATACAAGGAGTAGACACGTGTTCCTTCATCCCCATCCTGGGGGGTGACAGTGAGGGCCTGTGTGGCGGGGATCCGGGCGCGGTGACTCCAGCCTGGAAGGGATATGGAAGTGAGTCAGAGAGTTAGTGAATGTAGTCATAAGTGTCACGCCTTCACCTATAGCTACCCGCGATCACAGAGGTTGACAAGGAACAACTTAGCGTACAATAGGGAACACACATCACAATATAACATGACGTACTGCTTGAAACACAAAAGAATCAAGAATCATTATCTATAACAAGTAATTCAGTACAGGCTCATGAAAATAACTGCCTATCTGAACAGTAACGACATAGATTGACAATGAACATCGATGACAGTGGCTCCATACCTTTAGGGCCATTATAGAGGCCATTGACGTAGATGGTGTCGCTCTTCACCAGCGTAGCGAGGTGGCCGTTGCCGACTGACGCCATGTACCGGAAGTCTATCTCCTCACTGTTGTCTTTTAGCGGCAGTCTAACATGAAATAACACAAACGTTTACCAATATCACTCTGTTTGCTAATGACAATCCAATTGATAAGAACGAAAATGAGTGAGAATATACATATGTTTACTACAGATGATTCAGGGGCGGATACAGCTTTTTGAGAAATAGGGGTGCATACCCGTTTTTAATGGTCATTTAATAAACTTTTAGGACAAAAGGGGGTTGCGCACCCCTGCACCCCTCCTCTGAATCCGCCTATGATAATTTCCCTTCCAATTCAAGCTAGAATGGTCCAGTAAACAGATCATATCTGGACATATTTAGTTGGTGCTGGGTGGATGAATTACTACAGAACCACGCACCTGTCCGTGCTGAAAATGTCTGGGTCGTCCGAGATGTCGGTGTATTTGGAGACTGACGAGGCTGTTGCAGTCGGTGCTAGACACAGACCATCACAGTCGGGCTCCCTGAACTCGCCCCCTGTCTGATGGGCTTGCTGTGTTTAGAGAAATATATGTCACCTTGGCTTCCAAGGAGAATTGAGTTCATGGTCTTGTTTGTACATTCATAGGGATGTGTGGGTTATATTATACGCTTACATTTTAAAACAAACTACTGTTTGGAATATTAACACAGCACCCATTAAAGGAAGAAGATACTTTTGCCCATAGTCATAGGACAGTTTAATTAGTGAAAAGGAGACGTAATCTACATATAATCTACTTGTAAAAATATTCAAAACGAACTGTTAATATTTTGATTTGAATATGTTTTGGGGTTTTTTCATAAAATGGCCCAGACCCGTATATGAGCTGTCCAGCTACTACGATTTCATAACGTTAAAAAGATTTATAATTGACACAAAGGCTTTAGATAATTTTGATTTTTTTTTCTGCAACTACATGAGTACCTTATGATGGTAGAAATGTGTTAGTGAGGGTACCGGTGACTTGCTTTTGGAAAATTATTAAGAACAAATTAGCTAAAGTAAAACAGTTTTTGAGCACATCAATAAATGCAATCGATAAAATCAGTTGTCATAGACGTTGGCCTTGAACATCATTCTATTCTGAGAATATGTGTACAACAATGATGATATGACGTATCTACAGCACTCAGTGCTGGGTGGCAGTACCCAGTGCCTCCAGGTCTTGAGGGCACACAGAAGCCGGTCCCCGGGGCAGGTGGGGGTGGGGCAGGAAAACGTCTTCACCTGCCGCTCCGACAACACGCTGTACTCAGCCGATATCTTCTTCCTGGAGACAGATGACAGACATTTGTTTCAGGGAACAGTCAAGGGGATGAGGGATGATTGAGATGCCAGGGTTTCGGTTACAGCACGACACCTCAACTTTGTGTGACAGGAAAGCCCGAAGTGAGTCAGACGTCTTCAATGACATCAAATACAGATTTTCAGTCCAGTCAGTTGATCCTGGTACGGCCAAGGCCGTACGTTCCCTAGCAGTGTTCCTCCCAGGAAAGTGTTACACAGCCAAAGCAATATGCCAGTAAGCTGGTGTGTACACATAACAAGCGGAATGTATCCTGAAGAATCAAACCTCAGTACGCCTGTATTTCAAAGCGTTAACGCCACAGAAATAGTCTCGATTATCTACGGAAACAGTTTTCACTGGGCGTAAAATGTAAAGTGGTGATGAAAATCATAATGAATGGATTACTGCATATTGGTGATGACACCAGGTGTTCGCGGAAAAGGTCAGCATGACCTGCTGTACCTTTAGCACAGCAAGTTCTCAAACAGAGAGTTAAGGATATCGCCTTTCAAACCTGACACTGAGAAATCAGTAATTCGAAGTTCCTCCATCATTATTCACACCTTATACACGACGTAAACCTAGAATTATACATAACAGAATTGATCACTTGATCCAGGCATTCTGTAAATTTCGAATATCCCACGACAACTTCAAAGTCAACAAATATAGGAATAACAAGGAAACACCAACAACAGAATTTTACTGTCCACACTGTGATGCTCGGGAAATTGAAAATGAAAACCATGGTTTTTTTCATATGTCAGAAATATTAGCATATACGAGATCAATACTTATCGCAGCTACAAAATGTTTATCATGGACAACTAACTATTTCAGCTATTTTCAGGTCTAAAAACTGTCACGTAATCCATATAACTGCTTTGTTCCTTCACCATATCTTCAAACTTAGTGCAACCTTTATACACCGATATTGACCACTGTTAATTTATTCAAATGAATTGTAAACTGTATTATAAGCCATTTGGCTTACAAATAAATTACAAATAAAACTGTCTGTCTGACAGTGAGTTCTATTTGTTGCATAAGGTAAATAGTGAGTGAGTGTGTGAAATTAGTTTTACGCCGCAGCAATATTCCAGCTACATGGCGGCGGTCTGGAAATAATCGAGTCTGGACCAGACAATCCAGTGATCAACAGCATGAGCATCAATCTGCGCAATTGGGAACTGATGACATGTGTCAACAAAGCCAGCGAGCCTGACCACCCGATCCCGTTAGTCGCCTCTTACGACAATCATGGGTTACTGAAGGTTCATTCTAACCCGGACCATCACGGGTTAAGGTGAATAGAAACACCGGTGAAAGTCGCACTGTTCCGTTATTGCGGGTGTTGCTGATATGTGGCAGCAGCGGCCCTGAAACAACCATGACCATGCAAACAGCTCCTCAAATGGAAACTGTGGAGAATCGTCAGTGTGTAAATATTCCATGCTGCGTGAATGTACTTACATGTCCAACTATTTTACATGGTACATATAATGATATATACATTTGTGCTTGTCATTCATATCAACTTACTTCTCAACACCGCATTTGACAAGTCTTTTAAGAGCTGCAAGAGCCCTCTCGCTCGGACGGCTGCATGTGAAGTCCCCCAGGAAGCAAACAGCTTGAAAATAAACATTCAGAGCGTTTGAGACATCGACTTAAGAATTCACTCGCAAAAATACAATATTCAATAATATATCGTATCATACTGTAACACGTTAAACTGTGACGTGAAATATATGATAACCTGTAGATTTCATTATGGCACTCCTGGTTATACATGCTGTTCGGTACTACAGTTCAGTGTTGCCGGAATACTATATCATATAATGTATAGCCATCTGTCGTCATCACATTTCCATCTTAGCTGCAGATTCTTCAGTACAGTGTGTGTTGATGTTAGAGTGAAAATTAACCTCAAATGTCTCTGAGTAATAAAGCATTCTTAAAGATAATTGGTTTGCACTTCGGCTCAAATAATAGAGTAGTGCAATAAGAGAGTTATTGAGTTATTCTAGAAATATGATGTAAATGAGCGTCAAATATAGCACCCATTTGGGGAATCGATTAGAAGCTTTCGGCAACATGAGTGGCCGCCCTAACCACTAAGTTACCCCACGAAGAAAGAATGTGTAATCTCTGCGACACGTGTGATGTTGGCGATGAACTTCATTACATTTTTCTCTGCCCTTTCTTCAAACATCATCGGAAAACATTATCATTATGTTAAAAAAACCAAATGTATAAAGATTTAACGCATTGTTTAACTGTAAACGAATTAGTGTTTTAAAAAACTGTGTATGTTTTGTAGTACTATATGAAAACTGTACAATCTTCCTTGTAAACCATCCCGCCATCCCATGTATTCTCAACTGTATATTTGTACCTCTTACGCCGAGTTTCCCAGCCTGAGAGTAATAAAAGTTCTGTTCTGTGCTGACCTGTATTTGCCTGTTCGTACATGTATGTGTATGTGATGGACTCACCCAGACTGGTATCAGCATAGTCTCCCGTCAACACAACCAGTCTGTCCCAGCCTCGACCCTCGTACACGTTGCCGTCGTTGTCGATGAGGAAGTTGTAAGCGATGTCGGGGTGCTGCATCGTCATGTGTTGTCCCTTAAATATAACGGTAAGGGCTAGCTTGGCAGTCTCCTGACATGATGCCACCATGAGGTGCTAGCAAGCGGGAGGCTGAGAGGTGAGTTATAATTGGATTTAACGTGGAGTTAAACTACTACTGCACTCATATAGCGATGCGTATTTATGCGTGAGTGCATGTGCGTGTATGCGTGTGTGGCCTATTTTATCCCCTGAATGCAGAGTACAATCTTTCAATTGCTTTTGGAATAACACGGTCATGGGATCGAACAAACGACCTTCCGGTCCAGAGCCAATGCTTTACCCACTGTACCATGGAGATGTTCCTCATTGAAAGGCATGGGTACAGGTTAAATACCAAACCAGAAAGAGTGGCGGCTAAACATGGGAATATTTAAATCCAGTTCAGCTTCGACCTAAACACGGATTTACCTGGATGTGATGTATCATTCTTTTACACTTTACAAGCTCCTCACACGCATCTCCACCGGTCTGATACACTACAACGTTGCTGTACATCGAGCTCCTCGCAGTGTAGGTGTCCACATCTGCCGCCCTCCAAGTACTTCTTTCTAGTACAACCGGGCACGAGGAACCTAGAAGGACAGCCACATCAAAACGTTACTCAGCGAACATAACATTCACCAGCTAAAGACAGATGGGAATTGGCCGAGTCATCAGGACTGCAGGCGGATTGTGATGTCTCTATCCAGGCTTTCTGCTGCAGAAAGGAGGCCATTTTGAGGACAGCCTTCACTGTGATCAGCAACAGTTGAAATCGCGGGATATCTCATGGACCGGGAATATGAACTAATGGAAAAAATGGAATACAAAGTATGTATTACATGAACTAAACTCCTTAAAGGTAAGATTAACTGACTCAATCGCTGCATTGGTTTATAATATAGGCCGTAGAAAAATCATTGTACACTCTGCCATGGCTCCAGTTCATATAGAAGAGTTAAGTATTGAACATCATCGGGCAGTTATTTTGAATTTTATCAAAATATATGTTTAAAGCTTAAAGGCTAAAAAGAACAAGTAGACAAATTCCGTTGAGTCAAGGTGAGAACAGGACTTACAAACTATAATGGACCTTGACATTAGTTGGTGTTCACGAAAAACCATACTTCTTTTTTCAAAAGAGATAAATTGGAATATCCAATAAATACTGGATAAAATAGGTTAGGGATATTGGTATTTTTATTATTGATATTGTATTAGTGTGTAAATGAATAAATAGATCAGTATTCATAATTTCAAAATTTACATATATCCCTAACTATTTTGGTCCAGTTTATAAACGCTATCATGAAACCGAAGGCTCCAATTGACAAACAGAGCCGTGCAATGGCTACCAATGCGTGTGCCACACTTGAGACTGGGTCAGTCATCTCGCTATACCTTCTGGAAGGGGACAATCTGTTGTATCAACACCGCGGATACTGAAAGCTTCCCGTGGGATCACCACTTCGTTGTCTGAAAATACATAATTTGAAACATGTTGATATTGCTGTCGTAAGCAAATCAAGATATATGTTCTTACAATGTTATATAACCGCACTATATATGTCTGTGAATAACAGACAAATCAGTTATTGGTTTATCAGCATCGTTTCATACCGTCGTGGTGCGACGATAAACAATTCTTATATAACTTGACCAGGCAATTTATCTATTCTCTCTTCTGTTAACAATAGCATCTTTTGTATGATAGGTCTAAATTGGTTATTAAGTTGGTGTTTAGTCAGAGATCTGTATGGTTAAAATTAGTATCTTTTGTATGATAGGTCTAAATTGGTGATTGAAGTAGGTGTTTAGTCAGAGATCTGTAGTGGTTAACATTAGTATCTTTTGTATGATAGGTCTAACTTGGTAATTAAAGTTGGTGTTTATTAAGAGATCTGTATTGGTTAACATTAGTATCTTTTGTGTAATATAATCATATATATATGAACTTGTTATATAGTCACCCCTGAATAACCCATGGTGTTTTGATGAACCGAGTACATAATCATGTCTTCCATCTCATGAAGGCGTGTTTGACGTCCCACGCCTTTTGAGTACGATGACACCCAATGAAAACTGTCGCCGAACAGGTCACCCCGATCCATTTACTCGGTGCATCATACGATAGCATACTTCAGTTTAAATTAAATTCAGTTCAGTGTTTGTTAATGTCTTGAAAAACAACCCTTAAAATTGTGCCAATGGACCACTATTATACATACAACTTCAAACAAATCTTTATATAATCCGAAGTCATTATAAATTATATTAGCATTGGAATATGTATGGGTGCTCTGAGTTATAATGTGTACTACCCATGGACTCACTTGTCTAAATGTAGCCACTTACTTCAGTCAACTGTTCTAAACTAGATTTTGCAAAATATTCCATACTGTTTAAAGGAACTGTTTACATATGAACTGATGTATTGTAAAACAAATTCATAAAATTGAAAAGATTATTGTCATGAGTTCAATAAATAGTTAAACTCAGTGAAAATCGGCAAAGTCTTAACAAAACTTTACACCAATGCAGCTGTTCACATGCACCATATTTGCATATGCTTTTCAGCAATTTGATGCATG